ACTGCAGGTAGTATATATATTATAATAAAGTAGAATAGTTATAGCTGAACCATATGCATAGCTTGAGAAACTGAGAACTACTCTCGAGCTCTTCACCAACCCTTGGCTCTGTCCTTAATTCAACGCTCATATATTTTATGTGTGGGGGAAAAATAGGGGATTTTTTTTTCTGTCTAGTAACTTGAGTATTGATTCATAAATCTTAACCATATAATGTTATCTTCTAATCTAAGGATTGTTTCATGTTGATATAATAGTTCAAATTTCTTAGCTGAAGCAGCCTACCCCTATCCCCACTGTAGACCCTCACTTTCCTTTTGAAATAGGAAAAAACAAAGAAACAAATCCAATTAAATAGTCTCAATCAGTCTTTCCTTAGCTCTTGTGTTTACTGCTGATTCTCTCTTTGTGCACCACTGTCCCATGTTAATGAACTTAACTGGCACACCTGTGCAGACACTTGCTGGCTTCCACAGTTACAGTAACTAGACAGCTAACAGAAACCTAAAACTGTCAAGTCACTTCCAGGTGGTCATCACTGCACTTATGGCTTTATGTCTCTATCTCGCTCAATTCACAAGATTTTGTTCCTCTCCCTGTTATGTTTTCTCCTCATATGCTAAGAAAAGAGAAACACAACCCTGCAGTTCCATGCTGAGTCTTCTCCTGTATTTACCCACTAGATGTCTCACCATGAGTTCTGAAGACAACTAACTGGCCTTGCTTTCATTTTCAAGGCCTGATATACATATTTATGAGTTTTACTATAAACACACAAGTTTTGTTGAGTCATGTGAAGGAATACATGCAAACTGATGAGTACCAGAGACTTCATTATAAAGTGAGGGCAAACAGCAGTAGAAAGTTAGAAAGAAAGAAAGAAAGAAAGAAAGAAAGAAAGAAAGAAAGAAAGAAAGAAAGAAAGGAAGGAAGGAAGGAAGGAAGGAAGGAAGGAAGGAAGGAAGGAAGAAAAAGAAAGAGAGAAAGAAACTATTAAAACTAAAATTTTACTCTAACATTTATGCTCGTAAAAAGGAATAGCCTGTGATGACATTCTAAAATTTGATTTTAGCTGCTGATAATTTAGGCTTAAATTTGCATTAATTTTCTTTAGGAGGCACATTAAGAATTTATATTTGACAAAACTGAATGGTGACATTTAGACTTTGATACAATTAAATTTGTAACTGAGACATTTATAGCAATGCATAGAAAGTACTTTACGTTGCCTGAAGTCTAGCCTAAAATATAGTTCTAGCAATGAAATATTAAGACCAGAATAAACTGATGTGATTTTCTCAAATCAATATCAATGCTATAACTTAAACATAACAAGTAGCTGCTTTATCTTTTCCCCAGCTTCTGTTTGCTTCCCTTGCTTCCTTTGAGGTTCAAGTTTAATCTCAGGTCTCCATGAGACTGATGGTAGCTATACTGCAGAAGCACTCAGAGCATCCATGGAAGTCTGATCAAAGTTCAGGTGAGGTGTCTGTCCACTACAGACTACTCCAGGTTCCTGCGGACACTGCCTTGAATCAGCTAAGGCAATGTCTATCTGAATCATGTCTGTATGTTATGGAGCACAGTGTAAATTCTTTACTAAAAGAATTTAGTAAAGGAAATCGAATGTCAATTTAAATTGAGAAAACAGAAATGATTACAAGGACAATTTTTATACTTACAGAACTGTGTGTGTATGTGTGTATGTGTGCGAGTGTGTGCACTCTGTGTCTGTGTTAATATTTAACTAATTAGAAAATAATGTATCATTTATCTCATGTACATTGTATTTTTTTTAGTATTCCATAAATGCATAGATAAATCATCAAATAGACATAGCTTTCCAATGTTTTCCTAAACATATTTTGTTTTCTTAAATCATTGTCTTTAAAATCCATTAATAATTCTGCAAATGACAAATTCCCTTCGGGGATATTTTCCGTTTCAATTTTAAGTGTCATCTAACAAATACGCTGACTGTGGATCTGTTATTTATGAAAGATTTCTTTGCTATGTAGAAATGTCTCATGGCAACAAAACCTCATCTCATTACATGTCATGGACATATCCCTTAAAACAGAGGAACAATTGAGAATCAATGTTAAGAGTTCTGTGTAATACCAGACTCAGAGAATTTAAACGGAATTAAAACATCACCCTAGAATGGTATAAATTTAACATCATAATTTAGTATAATATTATAAAAGTGTTTAAGTATAAGAAAAACCACTTGGCCATTTTTAAGTTCCCTGAAGTGGTAATCAGTAGGAAAACCCCAAAATTGAAAAGGTGTTTGTCATTTTTGTGGTACTGGCTTTCTATCATGGAACCACATGTCCGCTTTTTAAAATGTATTTTTTAAACGGTTGTTCCATCTTCTTCATTTTCTTTGATTCATTCACTCAACCAACACATCTAAATTCCTTCTATATTCTCAGTGGTTTTATTTTATTGATATAGTCTGAGAGTTTCTCATACAGTATAGCTTGTGAAACCTCCTTAGTCTAACTTTGGCTTGTTACGTATCTGTTTTCACTTTGAATTGGCATTTTGAGTATAGACTTCTATCAGAGGGAGATACTAATTTTAATGTTGTAAATAGAATCCCAAATTCTCAGTTATGAGATCTGTACAGACTACTCTGGTGTGCCACTGAACTGTAGGCAACTTATAAAACATAAGCCAGATTCAGTATGAAGAGAGACATCTTCATTGGTTTAACTTCTCTCAAGTTACAACTTTCTGTATGTCTAGACTGAAGAACATAGCACTTATATACTCAAATAAACTCATTAGTCTTAAATTTGACAAAATCATTTGATTTTTGCCACTTTAATACCTTAACAGATTTTTGATGAGATGTACATTTTTAGTTTTATTAGACTAACTTCAACATCCATCTTCTATCTTGTCTGAGCCTGAACAATTAAACTAAATTATACATATGTGTACTGAAGAACTTTTTGTCTTGTCAGTAGAAAATAGAGAAAGAACACAAGGGACCAACAGTGGTAGAATAAGAAAAGACAACCTATGTAGAGCGTCCAGTTCACAAATTAGATCATAGTTTTGTCAGATAACTATTTTATAGTTCTGATTGTGTGACATTCTGACTATGTGACATGCATTTTCACTAATGCTGAGACTACATTGAACAGTACAGACAAAACTCACTTTTCACAGTTTCCCCTTGGGGAACATCAGATCTGTGTGATGTGACTGGAAGGAGATCACATGAGGAGGGATTCTAAAAGCTTAGTAAACCTTTTATTTCTACTGTTGCTATCTTCAGAAACCAAACATATAGTTAAGATAATTTATTATGACTATTCTAAATATCTACCAGATTCTTCTTGAACAAAATCTGTTCTCTGAATACCTTAAAATTTTCTTGTAGTATATCTGAAGGTTTGAACATTTCTATTTTGTCATTCATAATTCCTAATATCAGTGAATGTAAATACCATATTTAAGTGACTATCAGAACACATTCTAGTAAAACTTTCACAAAGTCCTTCTTTTTGTTTTGTGATCTATTTTGTCAAAGATGAACAGCCAACGAGCCATATTCTCTTCAAATGAGTCATTAAATAAAAGCATTGAGTGTGTGTGCGTGTGTCTGTGTGTGTTTGTAGGCTAGTTATCAAACAAAAAAATGAGTGAACAAAACAAGAGAAACAAACAAACAATGTGGGGTGATATGTACAGGTAGAAAATTCTGGAAAATTATCCAATAAAAATAAAGGCAAATGACTCTGGACTTTCTTAATTTTAAAGGGAAATCTTACACAATGTTACTCAGCACAAGGTTGCCCACCATTCTAATGTGGGGAGTGCATGCATATCTGTTGATTGAATAAGTACTTATCAACAGTTTTCCATCAACATCATAAATAAATTTATCTGATCATGCTAGTTCAAATATTTAGAGACCAGGTAGAGGCTTTATATAGCCTAGGATAGAAGCCATGTTAAAATACTATTATGTTTAACATTCGAACTTCCTTTCACATTGGTTATATACCAAATAAACACGGAATATACTTTACAACAATGAACAGCAGAAAGTAAGCATGTTTTGTCAGCCTTTCATATGGACTTAGGAGTAAAATCAATTCAGCATGAACTACGATTGGGAACCATGAGAAGGCACACAGTCACATGTGAATGAAGCAGTGTGGACTGAAATGATGCCCGACTGAAAGGAAAAGCCAGCTGTTAAGCACCTGCAAGCATGGAGCTTTTCTGCTATAACTGAACTCTATGAGTTCAATTTATAATACTCACCCAGCACTATGTGAGGATCTTCAATTAAAACTCAATCTGGTAACAGATTGGCAAAGTACACTGGGTCATTAAACATCCTGAGAGTTAACCTACCATATTCTCTAAGAAAAACACTGGACTTTCCCTCATCTAGATATGCTTTACACATTTTTATTTTTAACCTCAAAATAATTCTGCTCTAATATATTTTTGCATTTAGCTCTTTGCATTGTGAGGCTGTAGTACCATGGTATTTTCTGAGATGCTATATCTATCACCAACTTTAACAAAAGCTATCCCTTAGCAGTGAAAACATTTCTTACATTTTTTTAAATTTAAGTGCTCTTAAATCATTTCTCAAGGTTTATGCCTTAGACCTAAAGAGTTTTGTTAAATTTTAAACTTTAAAAATATTTCAGCCTTAGTCATTGGTTTAACTTTATTAATACAATTTCTAGCTCTACAATGAATGTGGTTAATGAAAAAACTAGTTCACCTTAAATCATAATTTTGTCACTACTATTGATTTTATACAATTTTTTTAAAACTTCATATAGAAATCTAAATAAAAATGAAAGCAACAGTGCCTCAAGTCAGTTACTTTCTAGGTATTCAGAATAGTAAAATTTTTAGATTTAGCAAATTTAAAAAAAAATAATGCTTTCTTAGCTTCACTTATTACATCAAACTTAAATTCATTTAAATGGGTTTTATATCATGAACAAGTCTCTTACCTGTACTGCTGGAAATATTAACATCAATACTGATATCAGATATTCCTCCTCCCTTCAGAGAGGCCACGCAAGTATAAGTCCCAAAGTCCGTGAATTTTAAATCAATGATATCCAAATTTGTTGTTCCGGGAGACACATCAGGGTCAGTCTGTGTAATAACCATCCTCTCAGAACTTCTTAATGGACGACCGTTTTTAAACCAACTGAATGTTAACTCCTCAGAGGGAACAGCTTCTACTTGGCAAGAAATTTTCACCTCACGCCCGATCTGGATGTTGTCATCTTTGTGATAAGGATCAGGAGTGATCCAAAATCGTCCTTTTTTTAATGCTAAAACATAAAAATTTCACAAGGAGTTAGTGTTATTTTGATAATTGTGAAGGTTTGGTCACTCTGGGTAGTTGTCTCTGGGCTGAAATATCAAAGCAAAGCAAGATAGAGTGAGCATATGTTTCCTTTAAATCACATACACTATAAATCTTAATAGGTCCTACAGAAAAAACAATCTCTAAACTGGAACTCATTTAAACATTCTGTACACTGATTTTTCTTATATACATTAGGTGATGCTTGGCAGTGATAGAAAAATCATACTTTAATTCTACTCACAGTTGTTACTCTCATTGTGTTTTGGTTGGTGGTATGAAAGACTGACCCAAGGCAACTTGGGGAAGGAATGTTTTATTTCATCTTATACTTACAGTCCATTATTGAAGGAAGCAAGAACCTGGAAGCAGAAACTCAAGCATTGGCTACGGGAAACACAGTTGCTTACTGGCTTGGTCCCTCTGGCTTGCTGGGCAACTCTCCTTATGCACTTGAAGCTTACATGCTGAGGCATCATGTCACCCACAGCAGCTGGGATCTCCTATATCAAGCAGCACTTAAAATATGTCCCCATGCTTACAAGTCATTCCCATGCAGGTAATAGTTTAGCTGAAGTTCTGCCTTTCCAAGTATGTCACGTTGACAATAGCTAACGATGACAATTGTATTTAACTATGCCATATTATAATTAAATATCATCACCATAGAATTTAAATTAACCATGGTAACAGTTTACCTAAAATCATAGGGTACTAAGGTTTAAAGAAATAATATGGATCATCTAACATAAAACCTCTCCAACACCATGGTTTCAGTATTTCATAATTTCCCAAGCAACTCACCTGCTGTACAAATATCATAATAAGAGAAGTTCTTCTAACATTATATTACCTTATAATGTACATATATCTACATATAATGAGCAAGGCTAGTAGAGGAAGAATTGAGTCCATGCATTTTTATGAAGCATTTCTATATGCGAAATGTGAACTGGAAAAAATTATGTCTGTAAAACATTCTCCTAACTTTTGTTGCTTCTTCTTCATCCCACAGCTGTTGTTTTAAAAACAAAATCCCAAATGTTTGATTTTACTAAATGAAGAATCAAGAGCCAGATGCTGGGGTGAAAGCTTGCTTAGATTAAAGCGGCAGAGAAAGCACCCAGCTGACCTTCTTCCTCAACTGAGTCCCAGAAGGAGAAAAGCCAGTTCTACACAGTCTTAAAAACCATTCCAACCAAATGTCCCTCCTTTTTATTTCCTGTGCATCTGTTGTCCTCCCGTCTTCTTCTCACTCTCTATGGTTTTTTTCTCATGTTCCTTCCCTGTCAAGTGGTTGCTTGCTCTGCCTCTTCACCTATGGTTGGCTTTATTCAATCTTGCTTGCAATAAAAAGGCAGCTGTTAGATTAAAGGTGTGTGATAGGGCTGAGCTATACCACAACTAATGACATTTTTTTTTTCAGAAGTAATCTCAGGGTTCACAGTGTGATCAAATATCCTGCAACATACAACACGTAGATAGTTCCAACTAAAACTCCTGCTGGCTCTTTCTTGCAGAAGACCAAAAGAACCTCTTGCAGATGGCTTAGAGTACCTGCCATGTTTATTTTCTGTTCTCTTAACAGGGGTCTAGGGTTAGTGGTAAGTGATAAGCTGGATCGGCTGTAATGGCTGACTGAAGGTGACTGGCAAGGGTTATGGCTTCCTACTGACATGAACTTGATTGAAATTGTAGACCTAACAGGGAAGAAATTGTTTCTTTTATGGATGCTTTCCAGCTGAACATGCTTTTGTGTTTCGCACTATTGTCTGCATTTCCCTTCAACTCAATATTGTCCTACCTGTATAGGAAATGTAGCTTACGCTGTAGAGCTGTCTCAAAATATATTGGTCACACACTATCAACTTCAAAGCTACAATCACACTGATACTTTCAGAAATCAAGAACCTGTAGTGTATCTGCAGACATAAGAGGCTATGCACTAGCGTTTGCATGGCATCTCTGAACTTAACAGAAGTTCCCTCAGTTAGTGCTGGGAAGATCATGGGGAACAGGGACACTGCACAAATATGCCAAATGAACAAGAGATTTCTAATTGTAAAACACATTTCAGTTACATTTCCATACTTGCTAGTCTTCAGTAGTTTGTCTGCTTTGTTCATTGTGTCTTTGGAAAAGTAGGTAACCATGAAAAACAATGTTTGCATCTTTCTTTGTACTCAGTACATTGTTACAGGGTCCTTATCCAAGACTAGACACTCTAATCATTTGAGATGAAGAACATAGAAATAACCAGGCTTTATGGAAATGTATGTAGTCATTCTTTACATTAATTTACAATTACTAAAAATATATTCATTTAATTCTTATGATACACAAATCTAGGGAAACTAGATACATATACTTAAGAAATATTACTTTACAAGCTTCAGGAAATCAGAATCACACAAAAGAACTTCACAAATTAGTTTTAAAAAATGTACTCTTGATGATAATAAGACATTAGAAGTCAAATATTTAAGCACATTTAATATTGTTTCTTAAAATTTTCTTAATAACATGCACTCCATGAATATTATATGCTGAATCACACACTTATAAGAAAGTTATTGGAATATGATGATTCATTAGGAATTTCTACTACCTAGATTAATGTGTTACATTCTCAGAAGCACTGAAGGTAAATCCAGTGTCTCCAGAAAGGAAATATAATTTAAAAAGTGGTAACATCTGGATATTGTATTTGGTACAAGATAGTGTGCAAATACAATTCAGATGTAATAATAGTTCCTCTGCACAAAACAATTTAGGGAGTGGGGAATATCCCCCTTTTTAAAAAACATTAAAAATACTAAGAGCATTTTGATTTTTAGTATAATAACACAAAAATTATTTTTATTTCTAAACAAATATTTCTATCATTTCCAAAGTAAATACATAAATTTAAATAGAATTATTATTTACAGTAATAGTTGTGAAAAATAAATTATATGTATTAACTTATTAAATAACTTTTTACTAGTGGAAGGTTACATTTCAATACTTTTAAGAATAATTTCCTTTACTAAGTGGTTTGTTGATTGACATATAAAAGCAGATTTAACTAACACTCAAATGTTCATGTGATTGAGATCCACTTAGCACACAATACTATTGTGTCATTCAGTGCTTTGTATGGGGATAAATTGAAATATTATTGACAACAAAAGCCTTGCACATTAATCATTCAAATTGGATTGAAACTGCTAAACTAAAAAAATACCCTGATAAAACATGTGAAATCAATATGCACATTATATGTCATAGGCTGTTTCACTCCTGGCAAAGTGATTTATAAAATCCTAAGTAAAAGATTAAAGACTATATAGCTGTAATCAATAAGATTAAATGTCATACATAATTGCAGTATTTTATAGCAATATAATAAAATGTATTCTAATGAATTAACTACAAAACCAATAAACTTAATGCCAAAAGATATTTGATCTCAGTCTAATATTGTTCAAAGAGTTGGTTTAAGCCAATCATACTAGACTTCTAAAAGATACAAAATAGAAAAGAAAAAGAAGAAACCAGTCTATTCAACTCTAGGTAAAGAATATCAGAACAAGGACTTTGAATCACAGTTCTGTAAAGAAATTATTTTATGTTTGTTTATGTTTTCCCTATATCTAAACAACTGGATATGGACACAGAAGAGAAATAGTCTAATGAAAATAAAATATAATTGGGTGTACATGAGGCATGTTCATCTATACTAACAGGAGAGTATAATTTATTACTTTTCTTACTCAATTTGTTCAGAAATCTAAGAGACTAATTCTATGTGTAAATAGTAACTTGTAACGAACTCTATATCTATAAGGTCCTCAATGTGTTATCTAGTTTGTATGGGTCAAGCGTGTCCTTTATAAAAATAGGAGGTGAAAGTACTAGGCTCCCTCAAATACCTACTGTAGGAAATAGCTTATTAATGATAATGTTTGATCTTTGAAAATATAAAGGATTTAATATAGTTAATAAGCTGAAAGCTTACATTTACAATTGACTATTCTCTTTTTTCAGTGAATAATTTCTAGTTGTTCACACAAAGTTTATTTAATGTTATTTCTTCCTTCTATTTAAGATTTCACTGTTTTCAAATCAGTTCGAGGTAAGTGCTGAATTATAATAAGTGTCCAATAGATTAAGGTACCATAGAACACTGAAGCATTTCTTGAAAAAGAGAGGACAAATCCCTTGCCCCAAATTTAATTTCTTAGGTGAACTTGAAAATCCCCTAATACCATCCTAAGTGAACACTCTACTAGGATTAAAGTATCATCAGTTGTAATGAATGGACCTTGGAAGATACTTGTTTAGTCTGACAGTGCATGGAAAAATTTGGCATGAAGCTAACCTCTATTCGATCCAGTTTGAACACGTTGTACTATGAACAAGATAGACTAATTCTTTGCCTTAGGCCTGAGTCAAAGTACCAGCTTGAAAGATGCCTATATTGTGGATTCCACAGAAGGAGACTGTGAGATTATATCTTGACCAAAGATACTAGCTTAAAGTTGTAAAATATATTTCTCTAAGACTGAAGACAGCTCTAAGTGGAACGTGTTAGTAATCTGTTAAACTCTACCTCCACTCACTTGGCAACAGCCAGGTATGCTCCTCCCCACAGTTACCTGGCAACAGCCAGGTATGCCTGCCCACTATAAAAGGGGCTGCTTGCCCCTTCCTCTCTCTCTTGCTCCCTTGACCCAGTGCCTGCAGGTTGCCAACTCCCCTACTCCCCTTCCCCCTCTCTCCATGTGGTCATGGCTGCGCACGTGAAAACCTTTTAGAACATATATGCCATGTCCTGTCTTTCTAGCATCAGGAATGATGTGGAAGAGAAATAAGAAAGAGTTTATGAGTCAGAGGCAGTGGAAGAGTACAAAGAAACCATGGCTTCTGTACATAGCAGGGCAACTGCATATATGAACTCACAGTGGTTATAACAGCAGGCAT